GACAATCGATTGCGCGACAAGCCGATCTCCTCGAGTCGGTTTAAATTTTGAAACAATGCTCGTGGGATTATAGTCAACTGGTTTCCAGTAAGATTCAGGTACTGTAGTTGATGTAACGGATGGAAGACATCCGACGGTAGTTCCGTCAATCTATTGTCACCTAAGTTGAGATGTTCGAGGAACGTTGTAGCAAGGAACACGCCGGATTCTATTCTTTCGATTCCACTTGAAGTCCAGGCCAAATTCTTGAGACGAATTGCAATTTCGAGGGCGGAAACGGGTATGGTAGCAGCTCTGACGTTTTTTAACACAACATTGGTAGTTTCTCTGGACAAACCAAGCCCGAGAAAGCTTCGTTCCTGACACAATAGACTTTTTCCATTGTCTAGGCACTCGCAACCTGCAGCGCATTTTAGACGCGAAGATGGTGATGTTTTTTCCGTAAAAAAAGTTGACGAACCCGCTGAAGAGAGATCCTGTGAACCCGTAATGTGCACCGCAGTGAGAAGAACTATTAACCACCACCACGAGTCCCACGTGAAAACCCGCTCCCTCATTCCTATAACCTGTAATATGACGATTTCTACGCATATAACTAAGAATTCCCATGTCCTGATCTTCGCGAAATCCAAATTGATTGATTTAATTGATTGATATTCTTCTTCTTGATTTGTATAAATTTTATGTTATTTTTTTGATCGGAAAATAAAACTTTCACTTATAATTTAATAACTTTTTAAAAGAAGGAAGCATGGTAACAGAAAAGTGTATTGTCATTTCTTCACAAATATTTAATACGGCACATATGCTTTTACTAAAAGATGCAAATTGTGCTATATAATATTATTTTTCTTTTCTTTTGCTCTTCTTTTTCGTTATTATGATTTTTCTTTATATTACATACCTAGCAAGAATCACGGGACAAGCCGTGAAGCACCGTGTGTCTCGTCTGAGATAGCGACGGGCTACTGGTGATGTGTCTAACCGTTTGCAAAAAATCCGGCCCAATGTCTTATGAAGGTATTGAGGTTGCTGAATTTATTGATGGTGGCGGCAGTGGTGTTGCTGCTATTGCCGTGTTGAGCCGGTAACATAATTGTGTGCGCTCTAATGGAACGACTTGTAGACTTCCGAAATTGGACGGGAAAGGAATCCGCCAGCATACAATATATGGCTGCACACAACTACTATACTGCTATGAAAGCACTCGCGCGCGCGCAAGTACGCATATTAATGGATAACACATACAAACTAATCACATGCACGCACACACGCACTCACGCACACTCAAGTTTTTCTTTTTTTTTTTTCTTCGTGTATTATCTTTTTTTTATCTTGTATTATTATCTCTTTTTACGTATCAGTTCTGTCAAATGTGCAACAAAATAGAGATATACTATTGTTTCGCGTGTCACATGACACACTCCTTCATCGCGACACGACTAGCATCGTCCGTCGCGTATCAGAAGCAAAAACTGACTGTGAAAGATCTGTTCCGTCCGTTCCACCAACTCTGGCTTCTCCTCGTGGTAACCATCATCTCGAAAAGCCGGCAACGTTGCGAGTTTCAAGACCGCGCCGACGCAAAACCTACTTCACCTCTCTGCACCGCGCTCAACGAACCGCCCCATGAGGGGAATCCGACTATAACCAGATACAGCCCTTTTAGCTTGATTCTTGCTTATTGTCCCTGCATTCTCGCTATCGACACTAGGATTATTATTTCTTTTAATTTATTTTGAACAGCTTATCCGTTACCATCATTACCATCATTACCATCATTATATTACATGTGTTTTTTTATTTTTATGTTTTATGTTCATTAATTAGCTGCCATTTTTTCGGCTTGCTAAATAATATTATTGCCAATTGCTCAAATAAACCTTTTAAATTTTTATAAGTTGTATTTTTTAAGATATGTTATAATTCTTATTATCGCGTTTTTGCGTATTATTCTACATGTACATTATTTTATCTTAATTTCTAATCAATATTAGAAAATATTTCTCAAAACAAATTTTCTTTGAATATTTTCTTTGAATATTTTCTTTGAAACTGCAATCAAACATTATTGATGTTCCTTTCTGGAAAAAATTGATAAAAATTATCATATTTTATTGTTTATATAAATATATATATTTATATATATAAAAATAAAGATATATATGTATATATCTTTATTTTTATAAAAATTTATTTTTTATGTAAATCGTAGAAACAAAATTCTGTTTTTCTTAATATACATAATTTAACATATTATTATATTACACAATATTTCTTATATAATATTTGTTTTATTTGGAATCTTATTTATCTTTTCTTATCTGAATATAATGATACATAAATATATAATAAAAATAATTATACGGAAAATACATATACGAAATTATATTTATGGAATTATATGAATAAATGAAAATATTTTGTTCATTAACGAAAAAAGGTCTATGATGACTAAACGTATATTAAAAATATTTATCTCTCTATTATATTCCGGAAAAAATATATTTTTTTTCCGGATTATTTTTGAAATTGATGACTTTCATTCTTAATAAAAGTCGAATTTTTTTCTTCTAGAAACTATTTTTTGTTTATATAACATATATCTCTTCGTAGATTTTTTCGTTTAAATTTTTTAAATATTTAATATAATAAATAATGCATATTAATGCATCTTAATGGAATGTTAAATATGAAAATATTTTATTTTTTATTTTAATTCAAAATATGTGGATATTATTATAATAGTTATTACAATGAACTAATGAACTATGGTACACCTGCAACAGTTTAACTATAATAGTAAACTATCTATATGACAAGTAAACCGACCTTGATAATATAGCTTTGTCAGCGGTAGCTAACAATATTCAATTTTGAATAGAGTTCAATCTATAAAAGCAAATTCTTTGCGTTATATAA